GCCTCCCGAGTAACTGGGATTACAGGTGCCCACCACCAAGCCTGGCTAATTTTTGTAATTTTAGTAGAGACGGGGTTTCACGATGTTGACCAGGCTAGTCTCAAACTCCTGACCTCAAGTGATCCTCCTGACCTCAAGTGATCCTCCCGCCTTGGCTTCCCTGTGCTCGATCACAGGCGTGAGCCACCTCGCCTGACCCAATTATACCTATTTCTGATTATTATACTTCTTCTTTATTTTTCTAATCTTATTGCATTGGCTAGGGCTTTCCTAGCAATATTGAAAAGGTGGTGAGAGGAAAGTGGAGCGAGATGCTCAAGTAGAATCCTCCAGCAATCATCCCACACCCCGACCCCACCCCTGCCCAGGACCACAAAACGGAAAACTCTCAAGATGAGAAAGCACCTTCATATGAACCAAAAATCAGATGAACAGTTGCAGTATCTGGTTTTAACCTCGTCTCGAGAAAAGAGGCGCTGAAGAGGACCGGAAAGACAGTTTCGAAATGCTAACATCACCCATCTCCTACCCCACGGCAGCAGCCCCACGGCACAGAGAGAGAATCTGTGTGCTGGGGGAAGCGGAGCACAGTGATGACAGGACTTTGCACTGGCACTCGGTGCTACACAGTCACCGTGGAAAACAACACAGGACAGCACTCAGCGGGCGCTCACAGGTACAGCATTTACACCAGCCCTAGCAAAGGCAAATCCTCAATCCCAGTACTGTGAACCTGAGTTCTGGCAAGCCACACACTGCCGGCTAAAGGGCTCTGGGGTCCTAAATAAACTTGAAAGACAGTCTAGGCCACAGGGATTGCAATTCCTGGAAACACCCTGGAGCCAGTGGACTCGGGGTGCACATGACCTAGTGAGACACCGGCGGGGGCAGCCCAAGGAGTGTTTGTGTCAACCCTCACCCACCCTCAGGCTGTGCAGCTCACAGCGCAGGGAGAGACTCCTTCCTTCTACTGGATGAGAGGAGAGAGGAGGATAAAGAGGACTTCGTCTTGCCACTTGGGTACCAGCTCCGCCACAGTAAAATAACTCACCCAGCAGAGTCCTGAAGCTCCCCTGTTCTAGGCCCCAGCTCCTGGACAATATTTCTAGACACACACTGGGCCAGAAGGAAACCTGCCGCCTGGAAGGAAAGGGCCCCATCCTGGCAGCATTCTTCACCTCCTGACTAAATAGCCCATGGGCATTAAATAAATATCAGCAGTAGCCAGGCAGTACTCACCAGGGGTCTTGGGTGAGACTCAGAGCCATACTGGTTTTAAGGGTGACCCAGCACATCTCCAACTGTGGTGGCCACAGAGAGAGACTCCTCCTTGAAAAAAAGGGAGAGAAGAGTAAAGAGGACTTTGTCGTGCAATGAGGTTACCAGCTCAGCCATAGTAAATAAAGCACAAGCAGACTCTTAAGTCCCAGATTCCAGGTCTTATTACCTGGATGGCATTTCTGCACCTGCTCTGGGCTGGAAGGGAATATGCCACCCTGAAGAGAAAGACACAAGCCTGGCCGCATTTGCCACCTGCTGACTAAAGAGCCCTTGGGGCTTGAATAAATATCATTGGTAGCCAAGCAGTTCTTGCCATGGACCTGGGGTGGTAGTGGCCATGGGGAGAGGCTCCTTCCGCTCGAGGAAAGGACCAGGAAGAGTGAAAACAACTCTGTCTTTAACTCGGGTGTCAGCTCACTCACAGTAAAATCAAGCACCAAGTAGAGTCCAAAAATTTCCAATTCTAGGCCCTAGCTCCTGGAAAGCATTTTGAGATTCACCCTGGTTTCTAGACCCACCCTGGGCCAGAAGGGTGCCTGCACCGTGAAAGGAGAAAGACAAGCCTGGCTGCTTTCACCTCCTGCTCAGCAAAGAGCACTTGGGTCTTAAATAAATGTCAGTGGGAGTGAAGCAATAGTTGCCGCAGGCTGTGGGAGATGTGCTGGGCTGGCTTCAGGTCTGACCCAGCATGGTCCTGAGGACAGAGGCCGTTTTTCTTACTGTTTCCTGTCTCTGAAGAGAAGGAGGAAGTAAAAGCTGAAAAACAGCAGGAATGAAGTCAGTGGCAAGACCAGCCAGCACCACTGATGACCAGGTCTGAGGTAAAAAGATTAACCCCTCACTCTAACCACATGTGTTATCTATAGATCTCAATCTATCACGACCCTTTCATGTAGAACCCCTTAGACGTGTAAGCCCTTAAAAGGGCCAGGAATTCTTTCTTCTGGGAGCTCGGTTCGTGAGATGCAAGTCTGCCGACACTCCCAGCTGAATAAAGCCTCTTCCTTCTTTAACCCAGTGTCTGAGGGGTTTTGTCTGCAGCTCATCCTGCTATAGTCCTAGTGCGGTGGTCACAGGAGTGCTTATGCTGTCCCTCCCCTAACTCCTGGCAGCTCAGCATGGAGAGAGCAAGACTCCATTTGTTTGGGGGAAAGTGAAGGAAAAGAACAAGAGACTCTGCCTGGTAATCCAGGGAATTCTCCCAGATCTTACTTAAGACCACCAAGCTGGTACCTCTATGAATCTGCAAGAGTCATAGTGTTACTGGGCTTGAGGTGTCTCTGATGCAGATATGACTGCAGTGACCAAAGACTTAGATCACAACCCTAACTTTCCTTTGAATACTGGAATAGCCTTCTCAAGAAGGATGGAAGGCTGGGCGCAGTGGCTCAAGCCTGTAATCCCAGCACTTTGGGAGGCTGAGGCAGGTGGATCACCTGAGGTCAAGAGTTCGAGACCAGCCTGACCAACATGGAGAAACCCCGTCTCTACTAAAATTACAAAATTGGCCGGACATGGTGGCACATGCCTGTAATCTCAGCTACTCAGGAGACTGAGGCAGGAGAATCACTTGAAGCCGGGAGGCAGAGGTTGCAGTGAGCCAAGATTGTGCCAGTGCACTCCAGCCTGGGCAACAAGAGAGAAACTCCATCCAAAAAAAAAAAAAAGAAGAAGAAGAAAGAAAAAAAAAAAAAAAAAAAAAAAAAAAAAAAAAAAAAAAAAAAAAAAAAAAAAAAAAAAAAAAAAAAAAAGAAGAAGAAGAAAGGTGAAGAAGAAGAAGAAGAAGAAGAAGAAGAAGAAGAAGAAGAAGAAGAAGAAGAAGAAGAAGAAGAAGAAGAAAGGGAGGAGGAAGAGGAGGAGCAGGAGGAGGAAGAAGAAGGGGCCCAGATGTGGTGACTCATGCCTATATGCCTATAATTCCAGCACTTTGGGAAGCCGAGGAGGGAGGATCACTTGAATCCATGAGATCAAGACCAGCCTGGGCAACATACTGAGACCCTGTGTCTACAAGAAAAACAAAAATCAGCTGGACATGGTGGCATGTGCCTGTAGTCCTAGCTACTTGGGAGGCTGAGGTGAGAGGATCGCTTGAGCCCAGGAGGTTGAGGCTGCAATGAGCCATGATCATGCCATTGCACTCCAGCCTGAGTGGCAGAGTGAGACTCTGTCTCAGAAAAAAAGAAATAAACAAAGAAAGATGGGTACACACAAACACAGACTGTGGAGATTACAATAAATAACTAGTTATTTAATGCCCAGATATTGACCAACATCCACAAGCATCAAGAGCATTCAGGAAAACATGACAATACAAAATGAGCTAAATAAGGCATGAGTGACCAATCTCAGAGTGATAGAGATATGTGAACTTTCAGAGAAAAAATTCAAAATAGCTGTTTTGAGGAAGCTCAATGAAACTCAAGACAACACAGAGAAGGAGTTCAGAATCCTATCAAATATATTTAACAAAGAGATTGAAATAATTTTTAAGAATCAAGCCAAAATTCTCGAGCTGAAAAATGTAATTGACACACTGAAGAATGCATCAGATCTCTTACCAGCAGAACTGTTCAAGCAGAAGAAATAATTAGTGGGGTTGAAGACAGGCTATTTGAAAATACACAGAGAAGACAAAAGAAAAAATAATAAAAAACTATAAAGTGAGAAATAAAATAAAAACAATGAAGCACACCTACAAGATCTAGAAAATAGCCTCAAGAGAAAAAGTCTAAGCATTAGAGGAGGTAGAGAGAGAGATCAGCATAGAAAATCTATTTAAAGAGATAGTAATAGAGAGCCTCCCAAACCTAGAGAACGATATCAAAATTCAAATGCAAGAAGGTTATAGAACACCAAGTAGATTTCACCCAAACAAGATGACCTCAAAGGCATTTAATAAACTCCCAAAAGTCAAGGATGAAGAGAGAATTCTAAAGGCAGAAAGAGAAGAGAAACAAATAACATTTAAGGAACTCCAGTATATCTTGCAGCAGACTTTTTAGTGGAAACCTTATAAGCCAGGAGAGAGTGGCATGACATATTTAAAGAACTGAAGGAAAAACAAAACAAAAAAAAAAACCTTTCATCCTAGAATAGTATATCCAGTGAAAATATTCTGAAGTCAGGAGTTTGAGACCAACCTGGCCAACATGGTGAAATCCCATCTCTAGTAACAATACAAAAATTAATCAGATGTTGTGGCATGTGCCTGTAGTCCCAGCTACTCAGAAGGCTGAGGCAAGATAATCACTTGAACCCAGAAGGTGGAGGTTGCACTGAGCTGAGATCGTGCCACTGCACTATAGCCTGGGCGACAGAGTGAGACTCTGTCACAAAAACATAGTACTAATAAAAGAAAAAGGCAAAAATTCAAACAACTAAACAGAAACTGGGCAAAAGAGTTGAACCACTCCTCCACAGAAGAGGAAATGTGGAGAAATGGCTAATAAAAACATGAAGAGGGTCTCAGCCTAACAGGGGGAGATTTCACGTGACACCCGCCAGACTGGCAAAAATCCCACAACCCAATCAATGTGAGTGTTAGGGAGAATGGAGAGTAGCAGAAATACCAGACACTGCTAAGAATGGTTGTGAAATATATTTTAAGCATGTTCCTAGCAAAACACAGTCCTAAGGGACCCAACCTGGCCAAACACTCTTCCACAGGGAAATGAAGACATTTCCCATGCTCCTCTCATATGAAGGGAGATCACGCTGCAATGAATATGAATCATGTCGATGTGGGTGGGTCTCAGGAAGAGAATGGAGGAGAAAAATAAACATCGAGCAGATGCTCAGAGCCATGCAGTATAACAGCAACCACACAGGAGAATTTCTTCATATTAAAGTTCAAAACTACAGCCAAGGCAACAGAGCAAGACTCTGCTCAAAAAGACAACAGAAAGTTCCAAAACTAAATGGCATATTTTTTAGGGATGTACACATATGTGGTGAAAGAAACGTACTATGAAGGAAAGTATGGGAATACTAAAGACTAAAGCAGGAAGTGATTCCCTCTGCAGGGGAAAGGAAGGGACTAGGACTCAGGCAGGGCCTCCAGGGAGGACTCAAAGTTATATCTCTTCAGATTCTATTCCCTAAACTTGATGGAGGTCCTCTGTGTCCAATGTGTTGATATTCTTTATACCTTACCCATATTGTACAAATGCTTTATTTCTATTCAATATTTAGAAGACAGTTATAAATAAGATACATTAAATAGCAGGATGGTAGATGAACATCAGGAAGGAACATCAGGAACATCCATGAAGTTCCATCCACAGAACCTCACCATGGATATGCTTATGACCAAGGGGCCTGGTCTCCCCTCAAGACACAGTCAGAGATCAGAGGCCACACCATCATAGCAGTGGAGCAGCACCAGCTGGGACAGGGTCCTTCTGTGACACCTGCTATATCACAAGGCTGTGTGAATGAACTCAGCTGCCAGAACTCACAGAATATCAGTATCAGCACCGAAACATCACAGGAAAAATGGTAAGTTCTAAGTTTCTCCATTAATAGTAACTCTCAGATTAATCTCTGTCATTCATTGCTTCTCCATGAAATAACTTTTTATAGCTTTGCATGGGTCTATTTTTCAATTTATATTTTATTTTACTAACTGATTGAAAAGATATATATTGTGTGTGGTGTGTGATTTTGTCTCTGTCAGGATAATCATAGTTTAATTTATATTATTATTATACCAATATCATTTAGTTTATTTTTAAGCTTTTCAATTCTGAGGGTATTAATCAGGGTCTTTCTATCACGTGAGACAGAAAACAAATCCAAACTGTGTAAGATAAAAAAGAATTCATTGATCACGAGGACTGAGAAGCTCCCAGACTTAATTTGCTTGGGATTCAGCTACATATACAGTTTCAAGTGGCGTCCTGTAACTCTCTCTCTCTCTAATTCACCAACATCGGCTCCATGTTTAGCTCCACGAACCTCTGACTTAAACAACATCACTGGCTCCTGACCAGGATTCCAGCTCCACAAACCTCAAACTAGAACACCAGCCCGGCTTCTCCTCAGGTCTCCAGTTCCAAAACCTAAGACATTCGTGGCAGTACAAACTCCTCCGGGGGGGTTCCAACACCAGGACCCCAGACTTGAACCGCAGCCCCAACTCTTCCCTGGATCTCCAGCTCCACAACCCTCAGACTTAAACAACAGTAGCACCAGCTCATTTGTGAATCTCCAGCTCCACGACTCTCAAACTAGAACAGCACCAGCTCCTCCCCAGACCTCCAGCAGCAAGACCCTCAAACTAGAACAACATCAGCTCCTCCCCAGGCCTCCAGCAGTAAGAACCTCAAACTAGAACAACATCAGCTCCTCCCTGGGTCTCCAGCTGAATGACACTCAAACTAGAACACCACCAGCTCCTCCCTGGGTCTCCAGCTGAACGACACTCAAACTTGAACAACTCCAGCTCCTCCCTGGGTCTCTAGCTAATGACACTCAAACCAGAACAACATCACTCACCATTGGATCTCCAGCTCTACACACCTCACACTAGAAGAGCAACATTGGTTCCTCCACAGGTCTCCAGCTTTACAACCTAAAACATGAGTGGCAGCATCATCTCATCCCGGTGACTCAAGCTCCAGGACCCTCCAACTTGAACCGCAGCACCAGCTCTTCTCCAGATCTCTAGCTCGATGACCTTCCAACTTAAACAACAGAAGGATCACCTCCTCCCTAGTTTTCCAGCTCCACGGCCCTCAACCAGAACACCATCAGCTCCTCCCTGGATCTCCAGCTGCCTGACCCTCACACTAGAACACCAACACCGGCTCCTCCGTGGGTCTCCAGCTCCACAACCTAAGACATCAAAGGCAGGATTGGCTCCTCTCATAGATTTCAGCTCCGGGACCTTCAGATTTGAACCGCAGCACCACTTCCTCCCTGGATCTCCAGCTGCACGACCCTCAAACTAGAACAACATCAGCTCCTCCCCAGGTCTCCAGCGGCACAACCCTCAAACTACAACATCAGCTCCTACCAGGGTCTCCAGCTGCATGACACTCAAATAGAAAAACAACAGCTCCTCCCTGGGTCTCCAGCTCTACAATCAGCAAACTAGAACAGCATCAGCTCCTCTCCAGGTCTCCAGCTCCACTGCTGTCAAATTAGAACAACATCAGCTTCTCCCCGGGTCTCCAGCTGCACAACCCTCAAATGAGAAAAACAGCAGCAAACTAAAAAAAAACGTCCTTGGGCTTTTCTAGTTTGAGGGTCATACAGCTGGACACCTGGGAAGGAGCTGATTTAAATCTAGTTTGAACATCGTGGAGCTGGACGCCCAAGGAGCTGGTGTTTTTCCAGATTGAGGGTCGTGGAGCTGGACACCCAGGGAGGAACTGGTGTTTTTTTAGTTTGAGGGTCGCGGAGCTGGACACCCAGAGGGGAGCAGTGTTGTTCTAGTTTGAGGATGTTTGAGGGTCAGCTGCATGACCCTCAAACTAAAAAAACACCAGCTTCTCCCTGGGTGTCCACCTCCGTTACCCTCAAACTAGAATAACATCAACTCCTCCCTGGGTCTCCAGCTCCATGACCCTCAAACTAGAACAACGTCAGCTCCTCCTCATTTCTCCAGCTCCACAACATTCAGACTAGAACAACATCAGCTCCTCCCTGGATCTCCAGCTTCATGACCCTCAGACTTAAACAAGAGCAGCACCAGCTCCTCCCCGGTTCTCCAGCTCCACAACGCTCAAAATAGCAAAACATCAGTTCCTCCTGGTGTCTCCAGCTGCACGACCATCTGATCAGAAAAACATCAGCTCCTCCTCAGGTCTCTAGCTGCATGATCCTCAAACTAGAACATCAGCTCGTCCCCGGGTCTCCAATTGCACAGCTCTCAAACTAGAACATCAGCTCCTACCCGGGTCTCCAGCTCCATGACACTCAAACTAGAACAACATCAGCTTCTCCCTGAGTCTCCAGCTGAAAGACCCTCAAACAAGAACAACATCAGCTCTTCCCTGAGTCTTCAGCTGCACGCGCCTCCAATTAGAACATCAGATCTTCTCAGTGACTCTAGTTGCAGGACACTCATACTAGAAAAATGCCAGCTCCTTCAAGGTTCTAAAGCTGTACGGCCCTCAAATGAAAACACCAGCTCCTCTCTGGGTCTCAAGCTGCATGAAACTCAAACTAGAACAACACCAACTCCTTTCTGGGTTTCCAGCTCCTTGACCCTCAAAGGTGAACAACATCGGCTTCTCCCCAAGTCTTCAGCCGCACGACCCTGAAACTAGAACATCAACTCCTCTCCGGTCTCCAGCTGCAAGACACTCATACTAGAAAAACTCCAGCTCCTCCTGGGTTCTACAGCTGCACTACCCTCAAACTAAAGAAACACCAGCTTCTCTCTGGGTTTCCAAGTGCACAAACCTCAAACTAGAACAACCCCAGCTCCTCTCTGGATCTCCAGCTCCATCACCCTCAAACTGGAACAACATCAGCTCCTCTCTGGGTCTTCAGCTGCAGGACACTCATACTAGAAAAACACCAGCTCCTCCCGGGTTCTACAGCTGCATGACCCTTAAACTAAAGAAACACCAGCTCCTCTCTGGGTCTCCAGCTGCATGAACTTCAAACTAGAACATCAGCTCCTCTCCAGGTCTCTAGCTGCAGGACACTCATACTAGAAAAACGCCAGCTCCTCCTGGGTTCTATAGCTACATGACCCTCAAACTAAAAAACACCCACTTCTCCCCAGGTCTCCAGCTGCATGAACTTCAAACTAGAGCAACACCATCTCCTCTATGGGTCTCCAGCTCCATGACACTCAAACTAGGACAACATCATCTCTTCCCCGTGTCTCCAGCTCCATGAACTTCAAACTAGAATAACATCAGTTCCTCCCCGAGTCATCAGCTGCACAACCCTTAAACTAGAACATCAGCTCCTCTGCGGGTCTCCAGCTGCAAGACATTCATGCTAGAAAAACTCCAGCTCCTCCCGGGTTCTACAGCTGCATGACACTCAAACTAAAGAAACACCCACTCCTCCAAGGTCTGCAACTGCATGAACCTCAAACTAAAAAACACCAGCTCCTCCCCAGGTCTCCAGCTCCATGACCCTCCCATTGAAACACACCAGCTCCTCCCTGGATCTCCAGTTCCAAGACCCTCCAATTAAAACAACCCCAGCTCCTCCTGGGGCTCCAGTTGAAAGATCCTCAAACTAGAACACCTCCCCTTCCTAGATCTCCATCTCCACGACACTCACAGAAGAACAGCAACACCGGCTCCTTCATTGGTCTTCAGCTCTACAACCTTAGACATCAGTGGCAGCACCAGCTCCTCCGGAGACCTCCAGCTCAACAACTCTCATAGACTTAAAAGGCAGCACCTGCTCCTCCCCAAGGTTCCATTTCCGCCACCCTCCAATTTTAACAGGGGTAGCACCAGCTATTGTCCAGGTCTTCAGTCCCACGACCCTCCCTGAACAATCCCTTCTCATGAAATTCAGCAGTCAAGAAAACTGCAGCAGAAGTAAATGAATACATGTTTTGTTTTCAAATCGACATATCTTTTATGTTCACGCAACTCAGTTAACTTTTCTACTTTCCATTAACCTTGCAATCTACTTATGTCCAATGTGAGATAGAAATACACCATTTGAAATGATGTTTAAAAACCGAGAAATATTTTTTAATATGATCATCACACAGCTGTAGACACAATCTTATTTTTCTCTGCCTGTGCAGAAATCTTATGAAAATTCAAACTATGAATTTCTTTGTTGAGATTCCCAGAATACACATTAGTTCCAAATGTTACTCCCCTCCTTAAAATCTTTTAACATGTGGCCATCACCTGAGCATAAATGCCAGCTCCCATCCACAGCCCATGGTGCCTAGCACGGCCCTACCCTCTGCCCTGGTCTATGGACTCCCCTCTTAAATGCTAGCTCCCATCCACAGCCCACAGTGCCCAGAGTGGCTCTGCCATCTGCCCTGGCCTATGGTCTCCCCTCTTAAATGCCAGTGTCCACACATAGCCCACAGTGCCCAGCACAGCCCTGCCCTCTACCCTACCCTCAGCTCTGGCCTAAGGTCCCTCCCCTCTGCCATTCCCTTCCTGCCGGACAGGCCTCTGTCACTTCCTCAAACCACACAGGTTCAGGCCTGACTCTGGGCCTTTGCCTTGCTATGCCCTCTGCCTGGGGTGCTTTTCCTGGGCTCCACATCCTCCTCTCAACCCACTCAGCTCCAGCCTCTTGTCACCCCTCAGGTGGATGCACACACGCGTCCTCTCACCTCTCCCATCCCCTGCCCTGGCCTTTGCACAGGCTCTTCTCTGTGCTGGAAACACTCCCCGTCTCACCACAGGGATTTATTCTCTAATTATCATTCATCCTTGGACTCTCCACTGAAATACCACTCCCTGCCCAACCCCTCACTCCGACTTAACCTTGGTTAGGTTGCCAACCCCTATCTCCTGACTCCAGGAAGCTAGATACTATCCTAGCAC